TACATTCGTATTCGGTGATAATTTCATATAATAACAATAATAATACAAACAATTTCGAGTTTGGAAAAAAACACTCTCAAATAAATATTAATTTATATTTATTTTCGAAATAAATTCGTATAAAAGATACAAATAATATGGTGGCGAATATGTTTATGTGCTGGTTTAAATGCCTTTAGAGAGGGATTTTTTTTATTAAATCGTTTTTTATGGGAATACGAACGAACACATTAATTCTGTTGTTAACTGTAGCCTTTACTTTTTTTAATAAATATTTAGTTCAAATGCGAAATGTATTATGTCCATATAACTCAAGGTTGATTTTTATGTTTTTAACAAAAAGTATATACAGTTACATCATTTAGTATTTATTTTTTTCCAGAAATTATGTTTAGTTTTTTTTAACATTAAAATTTCAACAAGCTTAAAAGACTGGAGTTAACCAATTTGTCTACTAAGTTAACCAATTGTAAGTATACTTATTGTACATCCTTAAATACACACATAAATTTATGTTTATGTAAGCATCTGTGTGTGTGTGTTTATGTTTAAACGGCAAAATCGTACTAGGAAGTGCACAGTGGGTCAACTTAAAAAAAATTATTTCAGCTAATAATACTTTTTAGGACCAAAAACTTTCCATAACTCAAACGAAACGGATAAGCATTTTTTGGTACATTTTAATAGTGTTTTTCCAATTGGCCGAAACATGGTTAAGTACTTTCTTCAGTACTTTTTGACATAAAAAAAAATACCGAGGTAGTCCCACGACTTTTAATAAGTAGTCCAGTAGTCTAGTCTATAGTATAGTCTATCTAGTCTATAGTCTATCTAGTCTATAGTCTATCTAGTCTATAGTCTATCTAGTCTATATTCTAGTCTATAGTCTATTTTATAGTCTAGTCAATATCTAGTCTATAGTCTAGCATATAGTCTAGTCTACAGTTTAGTCTATAGTCTAGTCTATAGACTAGTCTATAGTCTAGTCTACTCTATAATCTATAGTCGAGTCTATAGTCGAGTCTATAGTCGAGTCTATAGTCGAGTCTATAGTCTAGTCTAGTCTAGTCTAGTCTAGTCTATAGTCTAGTCTATAGTCTAGTCTATAGTCTAGTCTATAGTCTAGTCTATAGTCTAGTCTATAGTCTAGTCTATAGTCTAGTCTAGTCTAGTCTATAGTCTAGTCTAGTCTAGTCTATAGTCTAGTCTATTCGTCTATAGTCTAGTCTATAGTCTAGTCTATAGCTAGTCTATAGTCTAGTCTATAGTCTAGTCTATAGTCTAGTCTATAGTCTAGTCTATAGTCTAGTCTATAGTCTAGTCTATAGTCTAGTCTATAGTCTAGTCTATAGTCTAGTCTATAGTCTAGTCTATAGTCTAGTCTATAGTCTAGTCTATAGTCTAGTCTATAGTCTAGTCTATAGTCTAGTCTATAGTCTAGTCTATAGTCTAGTCTATAGTCTAGTCTATAGTCTAGTCTATAGTCTAGTCTATAGTCTAGTCTATAGTCTAGTCTATAGTCTAGTCTATAGTCTAGTCTATAGTCTAGTCTATAGTCTAGTCTATAGTCTAGTCTATAGTCTAGTCTATAGTCTAGTCTATAGTCTAGTCTATAGTCTAGTCTATAGTCTAGTCTATAGTCTAGTCTATAGTCTAGTCTATAGTCTAGTCTATAGTCTAGTCTATAGTCTAGTCTATAGTCTAGTCTATAGTCTAGTCTATAGTCTAGTCTATAGTCTAGTCTATAGTCTAGTCTATAGTCTAGTCTATCTAGTCTATAGTCTAGTCTATAGTCTAGTCTAGTCTAGTCTATAGTCTAGTCTATAGTCTAGTCTATAGTCTAGTCTATAGTCTAGTCTATAGTCTAGTCTATAGTCTAGTCTATAGTCTAGTCTATAGTCTAGTCTATAGTCTAGTCTATAGTCTAGTCTATAGTCTAGTCTATAGTCTAGTCTATAGTCTAGTCTATTGTCTAGTCTATAGTCTAGTCTATAGTCTAGTCTATAGTCTAGTCTATAGTCTAGTCTATAGTCTAGTCTATAGTCTAGTCTATAGTCTAGTCTATTCTAGTCTATAGTCTAGTCTATAGTCTAGTCTATAGTCTAGTCTATAGTCTAGTCTATAGTCTAGTCTATAGTCTAGTCTATAGTCTAGTCTATAGTCTAGTCTATAGTCTAGTCTATAGTCTAGTCTATAGTCTAGTCTATAGTCTAGTCTTTAGTCTAGTCTCTAGTCTAGTCTATAGTCTAGTCTATAGTCTAGTCTATAGTCTAGTCTATAGTTTAGTCTAGTCTATAGTCTAGTCTATAGTCTAGTCTATAGTCTAGTCTATAGTCTAGTCTATGGTCTGGACTATAGTCTAGTCTATAGTCTAGTCTATAGCCTAGTCTATATTCTAGTCTATAGTCTAGTCTATAGTCTAGTCTATGGTCTAGTCTATAGTCTTGTCTATAGTCTTCTCTATAGCCTAGTCTCAGTACAATACAGAGGTATCCATGCAAGAAAAACTATTAGAATTTTCTACCTGAAAGCCCACAGTGCCATACGTATATACAATAAGTATGCCAACCTACCAATACATATTAATATATATAGAAAAAAATTTCATAACATTATTGTTGGTGCTTATGCGGCTGATACACATGGATGTATGCATCTGTGTGGATTGCGTATATTATAGTGGTATTGTGGATTTATGTATTTTTTTATGTCTGTATTATCAGCCTTATTAGCAGCAACTTATTAACGTATACATATATTTTTTGTTCAGCTTTCATTATTATGGCTGGTTTTTTTCTTTTTTCTCATAATTATGACAAATTATATTTTGTACCAATATTAATAATTCCATATAGATTTTTAATTAAAAATCATAAGCAGACTTCGTTTATGTTTCCATATGTTCTTTTTTGTGTGTTTTCACTTATTTTTACAAAAATAAATTTTTAATAAAACAAATCTATTTTAATTAAAACGAATATGGATTGAAATTAGAAATGTGGTTGTTTGTGGATAAAAGTAAAAAAAACAATGATTATTATATAGAACTGTGGTATTCTTACTTCGGTAGCAGGTGTTTTCCAATGTACGCGTTAATGGCGTTATTTTTTCGTATGTGGTAAAAATGTGTGCGGTAGGCTTACTAATTGGTAAACAATTGTGATTTTTTTGTGGATTTATATAAATTTTGCTGGTATGATATGGCTTTTTTAAAGATTTATTTTAATATTTAAATACCACAGTTATTAATTGGTATTATTTTGTTTACATTAGCCAGGGAACATTTAGTACTATTGTATTTTTTGAAAAAAATCTTGCAGCACCTCTATGTTATAGTACCTTTTTCCACAAACTGTTATAAGTGATCAAAAGATTACTTAATCAATTTGTCCATAATTTAGTCAATAGACTAGTTCATAACCTAGTACGTAGACTATTAGGAATGTCAGTTCTTATTAAACTACTAAATACACTAGTCAATAGTCTAGTCCCTAGTTTAGTCCATAAGCCAATGCACTCTCCATTGTCAATTAAAAAGCTAGTCCATAGATAAGTCATATAGACTGGTCCAAAGACTAGGTAATAGACTCATCCACTGACTTGCCTACGCCATTAATTAGTCGACAAACTAGTTAATAAATGAAAACAAACGCAAAAAGTAATTTAGTACTTTTAATCCACTAAAGGTACCCTTTATCACATTTAGTTCACCATAAAAGTAATTTCATTAATTTTATTAACGAAATGCCTGCTTTTGGTTTCCATGAAAAATGTACCGCTATTTCCTTAATGCTTTAAGCAACAGATTTTGGTCCTTTGAAACATTAAAAAAAGCAAAGTATTTAATTAAAAACTAAAGCTTTTAGGAAATGGTAAACATATTTTAACAATGATTAAAATCTACAAAATATTAAGATAAATTTAAAACATTTTTTTACGACAACTAACTTAGTTATACAATAATATTCAACACAATTTTTTTTTATTTTAGTAGAACAAAGCACTTTGTTCCTTTTTCATCTTCATCATCGTTTTTCTGTGTTTCAAAACTCATTAGTGTTAAAAAGCAAGTTGATAGTAGTCAGTAGCGTAAATGAATATAATTGAGTATCATTTTCATTGAGAGAAACAAACGAAAAAAAAACATACACAAAGATAATAGCAACAAGAATTAAGGCAGATATACGTCAATGGCAAGAGGTACGGGGGGAGGGGATGGTGAAGTCTGTAGTACAACATATTTCCTAATATCCAATGTTTTTAAGTTAAATACACTTAGAAAAACATTTGGTTCGGTAGGAAATTCATATTCATTTAAAATAATGCTTTATGATTCTAACAAATAAGTATATTTTTGTGGCAATCATTTTTATGATTGTGGAAGCTATTACTTTAATATGGTTGTCATAACGTGAACGCAAAATAAATACGATTGCGGCAGTCATATAAATAATAAATTAACCATAATATGGTGGTGGCAACTAAACACTTTCCTGTAATAATGTTAGAATGATTACTGTAAACATTTAGAAACATATTTTTCTCTGTTTGCCTAAACAGGAAAGTCTGTGTTTATCTGTCTATCTAAGAAAATTAGTAGTGAACAAATTCTTCTCTTCTCATATTCTTCTGGTTTGTTTTGTTGCAAATACTCTAATACTAATACAAAGAAACATTGTAAGTAAGAAAATCAAAAGCTAAAATTAAATGAAACATAATGGAAATATAATGCCAACTACAAACTCTAAACGTTAACTACAACGTAACATAAATAACACAAATGACACACACACACATACATACACATAAATATATAATAATGTTAAAAGGCAACATACACATACAACAATCAAATTAACAGCAGGATAAATTGGGGAATTTTAAGCAAAATTGTAATACAAACGAACAAAGAAAATCAAATCAAATAAAACAGAACAGAACAGCACAAAATGTAACAAATACGAGGACACGTACAAAAATATGTTATAAGCTGCACATACCTTAGATGTATTATCTTCTACCCAGGCATCTGGCTTACCATAATCCGGTGGATTTGCAAAGGGATCATAGCCCAGTACAGATAACATTGGTGCTATATCGGCCATATCTCTTACTACATCTTCGGGTATATTTCCCACCCATTTGGAGAGAGCCTCTAAATTTACTGGTTTAATTACCTGGTCCGATGAACGTTCAACTCTGTAAAGGAAATGGAAAAACAAAATAAATTAATGAATGTAGAGAGAAAAATTTCATACCAGACAAACTCAATTGCTTTGTCAGGGGTTTTTATATTTGTATTTATTTCTTGTTGTTGTTGTTTTTTTTTTGGAATTTACAAAGAAGACACTATAAATGATTATATGGGGCATACAAATCTTTTAACTTTAACTCTCCTAGTAATGTTTAAGCAATATAAAGGAGCACAGTATTTACACATTTACACATGAATAATAAACTTTATTCAGTTGTTTTAAAGGCAGAGCTGTAAAGGAAATTCTTCTTTACACAACGTTTTAATATTGTTATCTATAAGTATTTCTGTCCATTATTCTTAATGGATTGAGAAAGTCAATCATTGTTTTTAAAAAAGATGCATCAATGTTGAGGTAACAGAAACTGATTAAAAATGCATAGTTGCCCAACTGATGTACAAAGAGTCAACGTATCTAAAAAAGCACACTCATTTCCACTAACGCCCAACCACGTGGGCACCAACTTCCTCACGAATTTACTTTGTGTCCCTTTTGTTAGCAAAATCGGTGACAGTTGTCCTTTTTTTGTTCCGTGTAATCTATAGAATAGACAATTAAAACACTTAAGTGAAAAGGTTCATTGTCAAGTATTGACTCCTTTTGATTAGCTTTCTGCATGTCTCTTTGTAATCTAGGGAATGATGACTGACTATGCTAGAAGAAACCCTAAGTGAGTTCGAACTGCTGGGTCACCAAATCTCATTTTTGACGACCAACAAGAATATGAAATCACAACCTTAATATTCTGCCTGCCGAGAGTGAAGAGAGCGGAAACTGTTGTCACTTTACTGTTGCCAAGTAATCTAGAGAGTAGACACTTAAAAAAAAAAACTTCAGTAAAAAGGTTCATTGTCATGTTTTGACTTTTTTGGACTAGTTTTCTGAATGGATTGACTAAAATAGGAATAACCCTAAGTAGTAGGTTAAATAGCTTGTACGGGATTATGACGGCCTACAAAAACCAAAACCTACTCTCTTTTATAAGAAATCACAACTTTAAAACTCTGACTTCCTTTCCTTGACCATTCAACTGGACAGACTTTTTACATTTAACATTTTACGTTTTCTTTTAATCTTTTGTTGTTGTTTTTTGTTCTTTAATGTTTTACTGTTGCTGTTGCTACGGCTCCAACTCCTGCTGTTGTTTAACGTTTGTTTTTCTTTGTACATTATACACTCTCTTGCACTCACACACACACACCAACACATATAATTGAAAGTTATGGCGGAAATTAGTTTTTGTTAGCACCACTAAAGCTTCAATAATTAGTTTTACTTTTAGCTTTGTGTAATTTTTTAAGACCATTCTGGAAGCAGTATAAGTAGAGACCATCAACCAACATCATCATAAGAATAAGTAGCAACGATAGCAGTTTAAACCAACCGGGATAATCCAGAGCAAAAGGAATAACAACAACAAAATAAATAAAAAAATAAAGCACAAAACAAACAACACATAATAAAAGGGAAATTGTAAAATTAATAAAATTTGTTTTAATTTTCTTTCATATTTCAATTGTTATTAGTTTAATGATAGTATAAAGAATTATTAACCTTAATTTTAAGCTTTTTATAGGGAAGACTAAGTATTTAAAACTTTATTGGATTCCTTGATGAAAATACATTTAACTTTGTCACCCTATTATCTATTGAATGTAGAAAAGTATATTTGTTATTATTGTTTAAACCAATTATAAAAGTTTAATGCTTTTAATGAAATGGTTCACTGGTGTGCGTAATTGTCTTAGGGTCTTAAAGATTAAAGTTTGCAGAAGCATCTAGTAGATATACATACATACATACATACATACATACATACATACGTACATATATAAATCAATTTTGCACAATTATCACAAAGTTTTTAATGCATTTTTTCTTTTTAAATGAATTATTAATGAGAAACTAATTTTTAAGTTTATCAAAAATGCTAATGTATTTTTCTTGTAAGAAAACAAATTAAGTGAATTTAAGTAAAATTTTAATAATTTAAATTCTCCGAGAATATTGATGTTTGTGATTTAGTTTTAGTTAAACTTTTTTTAAAGAAGAATATATACACTTTTATCAAATAGATATCAGATGTGCATAACTGATATGTGCATAAATTCATACATACATATGTATGTTGAAATCAGTTTTTAGAAGGTCGCAGATATCTTCGACATTAATAATTCAGACATGCCTTCGCTTCATAATTAAGGAGGAAATGACTAAATTTCCGAAACCCATGAAAAGGTTACGTTTTTATACCCTCCACCAGCATCAGTGGCGATAGAGGGAATATATTTGTCAGAAGCATTTATCTGAGGCCCAACAAAGTATATATACTCGAGGTACTTATAAAATTCTGAGCCGATTTAGTTATGTCCGTCTGTCTGTGTAAAACATGTTCACGTAAAAATGAAGCTAAATAAATTAATGAAATTCGGCCAAAAGACTCACTATTGTCCTAGGCAATTTGATATCGCAAATGAGCAAAATCGGTTTTCAAAATCGGGAAATGTTGTGAATCAAAATTTAGCAAGTAAGACTGCTATATTCGGCTATGACGAATCTAATATAGCCACCATCAAACCGTATGCCGTAAAAGGAATGCTCTCCTATAAACATTAGGGTGATATTACTCATCAAATTTACTGAAGAGGACCTTATATGAGAGGTAGGGTGAATTATTGGCCGTTTTTATAAAATTTTTCATAATTTCTTTAGACCGATTTTGATTCATATAAAACATGTTTGCATCGAATATCAGTTCCCGACACTTTCTGCATTAAGTTCGGTAGGAAGAGACTTACTTATGTCAAATTTATTTTTAAGCCAGTAATGAGCGTTAACGTCGTTTTTTAAAGGGGACCTTATATGGGGGTAGGGTCATTTTTGGATCGATCCACATAAAATTTGGTAGAGAGGTTTTGGCTTGTCAGGAACTTATGTCAGATTTTATTGCTATACTTGTACTTTTAAGTCATTAATGAGAGTTAAAGTCATTTTTGAAGGGGACCTTATATGTCAGGGTCATTTTTGAAACGATCCACATAAAATTTGGTAGAGAGGTTTTGGCTTGTCAGGAACTTATGTCAAATTTCATTGCTATACTTGTATTTTTAAGCCATTAATTAGTGTTATAGTGATTCTCCGAAGGGAATCTTATATGGGGGGTAGGGTCAATTATGGACCGATCCGAGAGGTTTTGGCTTGTCAGGAACTTATGTCAAATTTCATTGCTATACTTGTATTTTTAAGCCATTAATGAGTGTTATAGTGATTCTCCGAAGGGAATCTTATATGGGGGGTAGGGTCAATTATGGACCGATCCTCATAAAATGTTAAAGCTGTTTTTCGGGGGCACACTTGTATGGAGGCTACTTGAAAACGTGGACCGATATTGCCCATTTTCAATACCAAACAACCCGTATTTATAGAGAATATTTGTGGAAAATTTCAACCCTCTAGCTCATTCCGTTCGGACTGTATTGTGCTTTCAACAGACATACAGACAGACATGGCTAGATCGTCTTGGAATTTAGTAAGGACTCAGAATATATGTATATATTTTTATGGGTCTATGACCAATATTTCGAGGTGTTACAAACGAGGTGGGTATTAAAAGAACTCCGGAAATTTTTACTGAAACTATGCAATATATTTGCATGAATATAAACACATATTTATTTCTCTACGAAAACTTAATATCTGTAGAAAAGTGGCGATATCGGTCCTGTATACTATACATACCTCCCATACAAATGTACATATATATTCCCCGAAAATGAATTTATTCTTAATAACTTCTTTCAGAATATCGGTTTCTTTATAAAATTTTACCAATTTGAGTTTAATATAATTGGAATCACTATGAAGAAAAAATTTTCTCGATCGCTCTATAATTGGTCATAGCTGTAATACAAGCTACCCTCCCGAAAATCATTTAAACGCTTATTACTCATAACCAACTAACGATAAAATTACGAGATTTGACATAATTATAGCTTTCTGTAAATATTTTCACTATTGGTCTATATTTGGTCATAGCCCCCATACTGGCTCCTGTCCCGAAAATCATACATTACTCTTTACTAAATAATGATATCCATACAAAATTTGACACAAAGATTGCTTTTATATACTGAAATGTTAGTACAAAAATGTTTCATGATCGGTACATAATTGGTCATAGCTTCCAAAGAAGCTATCCTCCCGAAAATCACTCAAGCGCATATTACTCATTACCATTATTTTTTCGGATCGGCCCGTCCATTCCAAAAATCACTTAATCGTAAATAACTCATGAATTAATATTGGATAAAACTATAGCTTCTATATAACGACCATTTGTCTTTTGGTTAAGGAAAATAAAATAATTTATCAATTTCTGTTACAACATATCTTTAATTTAGTTTTTCACAAAGCCCAAAGTTGATTTCCGTTTAAATTTTTTTGTATACTTTCTTATAGCTATACTAGAATTGTATAGAGTGTTTGATGTAACTAGATGAATAAATCTTAAATGATGCTTAACTTTACCATATGGTACTTAAAATTGTAGAGTATTCTTAACAATTTCTTTTTAACTTAAATCTGTAGCTACTGGTTTGTTTGTAGGTAAATGTCTAGATATCATATTACTTAGCTATCATTTTCAACTAATATATTCATTTATCATTTAACTTTTTGAAATCTAATGGGTGTTTTAAGCTATAGGATGCCTAAAACTGTCAACACAAATCAACATCTGCTAAATTAACAAGATGTTGAAAAACACAGTTATTCCCTTAACAAAGGCATACAAACACTCATTCATACGCATAAAAACACACACGCATACACTGATACAATATATCCGTATCCTCCTTTTTCAACAAAGTGAGTGACAACATTAATAATGAACTGTAAATTAACAGCAACAATGACAACAACAAGAATGTTGTAGCCATTTAAATGATGACTACAAAGTAGAAAAATTAATGGAAACTTACTTGGAGAGAGGAACACCACCAGGTTTATTGATAAATTCTTCATGATGTAAGACAGAATCATTCCAGGGAACATCAAGGAAATCCAATATTTTACGCATCCATTCTTCCGGATGTAATACCAATTGTTCATAATAGACCTTAAAAAAAGGAAAGGAAAATAATATAAATAAATGATTAAATAAACGTATGTGTAAAAAAATTAAAATTATTTATGATAATAAATGATATGTGCATATATAAGTATGTATGTATATTTGTCGCAGCTATAATAAATGGAATCAAATTAATAAATTATAAAAAGGAAAAGACATGAAATATTAAAAAAAAAGAATACTGTAAATGAACATTTAAAAAGCATATAATGCGATTTATTCATGTTAATTTCCTGCGTGCCATGAAGGAAAAAAGTGTAAAAAAATATAATTTATTTAATAAAAAAACGCTTTTAAAAATTTAATATTTTTTAACGGAATTCAATTAAACGGAAAAACAATTTTAACATCCGGTACACAAACAGGTAGCAAAAAAAAAAACTTATTTATATCCGTATAAATATTATAAATTATTATAACAGTAAAAGGCAAAATTTGATGTAAGGGGTTAAAATCTGTCTATGATTTTCAACTTTACAAAGTCTTATTTTATTCAGATTTAAAATTTACTTATTAATGTGTTACTAAATCTCTAGAAGTTTTCAAAAGTTTTCCAAAACATTTGATTATTTAATGAAACGTATTGCAATTAAAAATTTCCAAAAAAAAACTTTTTTCACTATCTCCATAGAAACTATATTAAAAAATATATATTCCACTTTCAGCTAATAAAAAAATATCTTCATTTTCCAAAAAAAACTATTATGACTATCACTGTATACTCTTTTAATCAGTTCTTTTGGGATGAATAATATTATTTGCAAGTTTTTTTTGGTTTTTAATTTTAATTTATCATTTTCTGTTTCTCTATGCAGCAGTTGTTGCAACTCCCACTTCCGCCTCTCAGCCGGATGACAACACAAAATTGCTGTCTCATAATTAATGTCACTTTGTTGGAAACTTTTTATATAAAACAAGTTAATCGTTTTAAAGTATGCTGCATTTAATTTCCAATCAAACTATTACACAGTTATCGATTCACCATACAAAGGCACTGAAAGTGAATGGAAAGAGAAGATTGAAAAAAAAAAGACTGAACACACGACAAAATATACAGAGAAAAGGGGAACCAGACAAAAGGATAATCATAGGAGAGCAAGAGTTTGATAATGGCAGGAAAATCAACGATTCAAAAATATGTTGAAATTACAGCAACAGCATAAAATAATTTGTGTTTTATTTTATCTCTGTATTTTTCACATAAAGGATATAGCAAGCAAAACGCAGACACACACAAACTGACAGACGGACGGACCTAAAGATACTATATAGACAGTATGAAAAGATATAATGCCTGACTGACAGCCAAACGATAGACATGATAATAAAGGCAAAATATTTATTTGTGGAGGGGGCTTTTAGGCGGTAAAGAATAACTGAAATATTATGTGCAAGTATGCAGCTGACATTTTCAAGAGTGTATTTAATTTCATTTAATTCTTTTACGCTATTAACCTTAAAAAATTGCGGTTGTAAACGCGATATGTATCACATACATTTATGGTTGAATAGAGGATGTCATTTGCATATATAGAATATTTCAAATTTATTTTAAATAACAAAAATCACTAAGATGACTATTAATGATTCCCAAGTGTAGGCTTTTGTGTACTTATGTAGTAGTATTGTATATCAACTTCAGTTGCAACAACGTTTGGGATTTAATTGGGTATATTTAAGTAGTCAATTGCCAAAGAGGATTATTAAAAGATTATTATTCAGTTGTTTAAAATATACTAAGAGCTTTTGTAAAATGAAGTATGAATATGGAAAATTAAAAAAAAAAAAAATAAAAAAAAAAAAAACTGAACTAGAACTGAACTAGAATTGAACAAGAACTGAACTAGAACTGAAATAGAACAGAACTAGAACAGAACTAGAACTGAACTAGAACTGAACTAGAACTGAACTAGAACTGAACTAGAACTGAACTAGAACTGAACTAGAACTGAACTAGAACTGAACTAGAACTGAACTAGAACTGAACTAGAACTGAACTAGAACTGAACTAGAACTGAACTAGAACTGAACTAGAACTGAACAAGAACTGAACTAGAACTGAACTAGAACTGAACTAGAACTGAACTAGAACTGAACTAGAACTGAACTAGAACTGAACTAGAACTGAACTAGAACTGAACTAGAACTGAACTAGAACTGAACTAGAACTGAACTAGAACTGAACTAGAACTGAACTAGAACTGAAAACTGAACTAGAACTGAACTAGAACTGAACTAGAACTGAACTAGAACTGAACTAGAACTGAACTAGAACTGAACTAGAACTGAACTAGAACTGAACTAGAACTGAACTAGAACTGAACTAGAACTGAACTAGAACTGAACTAGAACTGAACTAGAACTGAACTAGAACTGAACTAGAACTGAACTAGAACTGAACTAGAACTGAACTAGAACTGAACTAGAACTGAACTAGAACTGAACTAGAACTAAACTGAACTAGAACTGAACTAGAACTGAACTAGAACTGAACTAGAACTGAACTAGAACTGAACTAGAACTGAACTAGAACTGAACTAGAACTGAACTAGAACTGAACTAGAACTGAACTAGAACTGAACTAGAACTGAACTAGAACTGAACTAGAACTGAACTAGAACTGAACTAGAACTGAACTAGAACTGAACTAGAACTGAACTAGAACTGAACTAGAACTGAACTAGAACTGAACTAGAACTGAACTAGAACTGAACTAGAACTGAACTAGAACTGAACTAGAACTGAACTAGAACTGAACTAGAACTGAACTAGAACTGAACTAGAACTGAACTAGAACTGAACTAGAACTGAACTAGAACTGAACTAGAACTGAACTAGAACTGAACTAGAACTGAACTAGAACTGAACTAGAACTGAACTAGAACTGAACTAGAACTGAACTAGAACTGAACTAGAACTGAACTAGAACTGAACTAGAACTGAACTAGAACTGAACTAGAACTGAACTAGAACTGAACTAGAACTGAACTAGAACTGAACTAGAACTGAACTAGAACTGAACTAGAACTGAACTAGAACTGAACTAGAACTGAACTAGAACTGAACTAGAACTGAACTAGAACTGAACTAGAACTGAACTAGAACTGAACTAGAACTGAACTAGAACTGAACTAGAACTGAACTAGAACTGAACTAGAACTGAACTAGAACTGAACTAGAACTGAACTAGAACTGAACTAGAACTGAACTAGAACTGAACTAGAACTGAACTAGAACTGAACTAGAACTGAACTAGAACTGAACTAGAACTGAACTAGAACTGAACTAGAACTGAACTAGAACTGAACTAGAACTGAACTAGAACTGAACTAGAACTGAACTAGAACTGAACTAGAACTGAACTAGAACTGAACTAGAACTGAACTAGAACTGAACTAGAACTGAACTAGAACTGAACTAGAACTGAACTAGAACTGAACTAGAACTGAACTAGAACTGAACTAGAACTGAACTAGAACTGAACTAGAACTGAACTAGAACTGAACTAGAACTGAACTAGAACTGAACTAGAACCAGAACCAGAACTGAACTAGAACTGAACTAGAACTGAACTAGAACTGAACTAGAACTGAACTAGAACTGAACTAGAACTGAACTAGAACTGAACTAGAACTGAACTAGAACTGAACTAGAACTGAACTAGAACTGAACTAGAACTGAACTAGAACTGAACTAGAACTGAACTAGAACTGAACTAGAACTGTACTAGAACTGAACTAATTTCATCCAGTTATCTTAAAAACCTCAACTTGGGTCACAAGCATTACAGCCGATTGGACGAGCGGAAATGGCTTATTCGAATAAATCTATTGTTACCCTCTAAGGTGGGTGTGAATCAATTTGTTGGTGCTTTACAAACATCTGCTCAAATGCATAATACTCTCCCCCACTACTACATAGTAATGGTGTAAAGTATAAACACGCAATATCAAAAACTTTACTTAAATTACATATTTTAGAAATTTTCATAATTTCTCTTTAATTTGAACATTGTATAATTTTATCAACACTTACCATCATACAACGTTCTTTACCAATTTCTTTACATTGGTCGTGCATGACTTCGATGGCATGATTCCATTTTTGCATACACTGGCGATAGCTGGTCAAATCAAAGCCAGTAATGGTTACTTTGCGTGATATAATTGAATGTACCGTGGCACGACCATCACGGACCATAAATAAAAATTTAGCCTAGAAAAGAAAAATAAAGAACAAATTTAATTATTACTTAAAAATAAGGAGTAGTAATAATGACTATTGAAAAACTTACATTAGGAAACAGTTCTATCACATATGTGCCCATTTTTAAAGTTAAGGGATCTTTGTTGCACAGTCTAGGCGCTGGATCACCATGTTTAGCAATGATTTCTAAACAAAATTGAGCAATAGCACTGTTCATGACTTCTTTGGTAATGCCAGCCTCCACCAGACGCAGCGATTCCTTTTCCGACTTCAGCCAGTGGGAACGTAATTGTAATATTCTAGGTATCACACGTGTTTCCTGGCCACATCTAAAAAAAAAGTTGTGAGAAAATAAACAAATTTTAAGAAACTCTTGTTTATCATTAACAAGAACTTAACAAGATTAAAAAACTTTCAACAATTGAACAGGACGAATGATTTGGAATAAACAACTTCTTAGACAATTATAACACACCTACACCCAATTTAAATGCAGCTATTATTATTCCCAGCCATTCAAAGGTATGAGGGGTTTTATTCTTGTCTCACTCTCTCCTCCCCGTTCCCGGCCTGAGGAACTGAACTTTTAAAAAGTTTTCACTTTGAACAACTTTATGCTTGAACATTTGTTTGTATGTTTTTTATTTCGCAAATAAAAAAGTAAAAATAAGGTGGCATTCTAGGAATTTAGCTATAAAAATAAAAATTAAAAACTTTAGCGTTTAACTGCGAAAAAAACAGCAACTGGAAAACTAAAGTTTTTACTGCTAATTTTTAAAACTATACAAACTTGACGATTAACGCAATGTTGAGAGAAAGAGAGAAAAAGTATTAAATGAAATTCAAAAATTGGAACAGTAGTTATACAATCGACTACAAATAGTTAAAGCAAGAATATAGTTCAGGATAAAAAAACACAATTCTATTGAAAACTAAAATCAAGTGAAGCGTATAGTGAATTGCAAGAACATGCAGACAAACTTATTGTGTAGTATAACTCTAATACACAACCAACAACAAGATTTCGAATAGCAAAACTATGTATGTGTATATATTATTTCTATTATCACATCTCTAGTTTAGTGGCAAGGTTTCAAATGGTGCACTGTGGTTTAGTCGTGATGATGAACTAAATCATTGAAGCATTACAAAGTACGCTATTGCCCTCGAGATCCTTAGAAACGAGTAAAACGAGAGATATTGTGTTAAACATCGATGTTGTATGACATCAATTTAAATATCAATTAAAATACGGATGTTTGTTAAAATTGAAAAAGAAGTTATATATTCAGTTTAGTTTGAAGTTTTATTTAAAGTGTATTTTTTAGGTTTGTTTTAAATTTGTTAAAGAAGATCTAAGAACTTAAAACTGAAGTGCTGAACGGCTTAAAATTTATATCAAATAATATATGCTTGGGGCCTCATTTATGCCAGTTGCATCTTAATTATTAAACAAATTTGACAAACAACTAGCTGTACTAGAACTGAACTAGAACTGAAAGAGAACTGAACTATAACTGAACTAGAACTGAACTAAAACTGAACTAGAACTGAACTAAAACTGAACTAGAACTGATCTAGAACTGAACTAGAACTGAACTAGAACTGAACTAGAAATGAACTAGAACTGAAATAGAACTGAACTAGAACTGAACTAGAACTGAACTAGAACTGAACTAGAACTGAACTAGAACTGAACTAGAACTGAACTAGAACTGAACTAGAACTGAACTAGAACTGAACTAGAACTGAACTAGAACTGAACTAGAACTGAACTAGAACTGAACTAGAACTGAACTAGAACTGAACTAGAACTGAACTAGAACTGAACTAGAACTGAAAGAGAACTGAACTATAACTGAACTATAACTGAACTAGAACGGAACTATAACTGAACTAGAACTGAACTAAAACTGAACTAGAACTGAACTAGAACTGAACTAGAACTGAACTAGAACTGAACTAGAACTGAACTAGAACTGAAATAGAACTGAACTAGAACTGAACTAGAACTGAACTAGAACTGAACTAGAACTGAACTAGAACTGAACTAGAACTGAACTAGAACTGAACTAGAACTGAACTAGAACTGAACTAGAACTGAACTAGAACTGAACTAGAACTGAACTAGAACTGAACTAGAACTGAACTAGAACTGAACTAGAACTGAACTAGAACTGAACTAGAACTGAACTAGAACTGAACTAGAACTGAACTAGAACTGAACTAGAACTGAACTAGAACTGAACTAGAACTGAACTAGAACTGAACTAGAACTGAACTAGAACTGAACTAGAACTGAACTAGAACTGAACTAGAACTGAACTAGAACTGAACTAGAACTGAACTAGAACTGAACTAGAACTGAACTAGAACTGAACTAGAACTGAACTAGAACTGAACTAGAACTGAACTAGAACTGAACTAGAACTGAACTAGAACTGAACTAGAACTGAACTAGAACTGAACTAGAACTGAACTAGAACTGAACTAGAACTGAACTAGAACTGAACTAGAACTGAACTCAACTACTTTTTGCAAAAATATTCTTAACTAAATGAGAATTATATGAAAGGATGCGAATAAATGTATTTTTGTATAAAGTAAGAAATGAAATTCAATTAAGTAGGAAATAGGATTGAATTAAGTACGAAATGAGATTAATAAATGATTCGAGTATAATTAGAATTAGAAAATTGATTTTCAAGTTCTGTTAAAGAATTTGGAATAGAATCTGAAGAAATTGTTCAAAATCGTTTACCTTATGTGGAATTCTTTAGAACACTTAAAAAAGTTCCGACAGGATTTCTGTTGCTAAACTTCATTAAATGTAATTTTGTTCACTGGGTTAATATGTGCAACAAAAGGTGCTAAAAGGCAGTTGAATATTTCTGCCTTACAGTGCAAACTGTCTGCACTAATGCCTCCTGTACTGTAAGCAATAGTTTCTGTTCTAGTAGTAAAACTTTGTTTTTCTTCTTCTTCTTCTTGCAAGCAATGATTATTTTCAAAAAAATAAAAAAACATCAGAATCAAAAGTGAAAAAAAATGTAAAGGAGAAATATGCTGTCGTGGGAACAATAGAACCATAAACAAGCATTCACAGGAGAATTTGAAAAACAGACGTTACTACAACAACACCAACATCATGATAAAAATATACAACAACTATGTATATAAACAACAACAAACATTGAATATTTCAGACCGAAAATAAATAAAAAAAATAGAATAGAACTGCAAACATTTATAAAAATTCAAAAAGAAATGAATGGAAAAACTAAAGAATAGAGCATGATGTGAAAGGCGCGCGAAAGACAAGCAGAGTAAACACGGTTACGAAACAAGGCTCAGACTTTTAAAGAAGGCATTTCCGTTACTCTGCTACTAGTTTTGTTTTCTTTGCATTTCAAAAAAAAAATGAAATCTGTTGTACACCCACATACACACAAACATGCGGCAGCAACAACAACCTTTAAAAATGAGGAAAAAAGAAAAGTAACCAGCCTTTTTCTCTGTTAGTAAATAGAAGGAAGATTTAATACAACGACAGGAGCAGCAGCAGGAGCATTCATATTTACAGTGAAACACTATAAACGAATGAATGAATGCCTGCCTGGGACTGTTCAAAGAAACAAAAAGTTGGAAAAAATAATACAAAATGGATTTTTTTTTTCATTTTTTTAAGTACACACAAGATGAGGAAAACAAGATGGCAAATAAAAGGGAGTAAAGAAAAAAAATGAAAATAGAAAATAAATCCCTTTTTTCAATTCAAAAGCACAGCTGGGCATATAGTATAGTTTTGTTTACTGCTTGTTGTTGTGAGAATAATCATGCTATTTGTTGTTGTCCTAGTTGAACAGTGGGATTAATTGGTTATTATTTTTTTGGTTCTTTGCAGTTATTAGGAATTTTATTAATCTTTCAATGAACCGAGGATGGTTTAATAAAGAAAATGGATATCATGATAAAAGGTTGTTATTAGGTACTCCTATGGGAAATTGATTTAGAGACAAATTAAATTTTTTTCCAAATTATCTCTGGTGGGTTAATTTGTAGTATTCTATTCAACTAACCCAGAGTTCGTGGGTTCGATTCTCTCCGGAGACTCTGGTAAAGAAGGGAACAACATGCCTAGCTCTGGTAAAGAAGAGGGAAAAAGAAGTATATACGCCTGGTACCAAATTGACACCAAACTGTTTATAATTTTTCAATATCATCCGTTGTCAAAGTATATACATACGTACGACAACACTACATGTGTAATGTTGACAACATTACAACAACAAGTTATCGAAATCCAAATTTTATACACATCCGTTGTCTAAATGTTAACAAACGTGGTAAGCTCGCTATTGACAAAGAATCCGTTGCCTATAGTGAGCTTAACACGTTTGTTAACATTTAGACAACGGATGCGTATAAAATTTAGATTTCGACAACGAATTGTTGGTACCAGGCGTGTATATTTCTTTTTTCCTATGTGTACTAGCTAATTACTCATTCTTCAATCAAGATTGATTTGAGCAAAAATGGATGACTGCTGGCATGCTATATGCTCCACTGTACATTAATAGTTTTTAAAAGACAACAATTTTCATCAACATCAATATAAATACACACACACGCCATCATTCGAAACGAAGAGACAGACAGACAAACAAATAAAAACGAATGACAGTTTTATTTGATTTTGTTTATCTGTCAATTATTTACAAACACATGCATACCCCATACCCATATACATACATACATACAAATATACAGAAAACAATACAACTCATCTATTCAACAGCACAGAAACGCTTCAAGCTTAACACAAAAAACAAATATCCTTGTCGTATTTGCACACATTTCAAAGCTAGAAAATGAAGTATGTAGTTAAAAACTAAATCGGAGAAGGAAAAAAAACTAATGAAAAAGCTTTTATCATTTTATATTCCTTAGAAAATTTATTAGATTTCAGTTCTTATTTAAACACGTGAGTATTTAAGAGAGTTTCTTTATTTTAACTCATATTTATAACTTTTATTTATATCTCTAGGAGTTTTGTGTTGCCATCATTAAAATAATATTTTTTAATGTTTTAAAATAAAATGCACACATAGATATCACCAAGCTTTACACACACATGTATATGTACATACAAACACAGGACTCATAAATAAACTTCCGTTTCTTTATTTCCACATACACACAATAGTACAGAGATATAAAACCATGACAATCTACTAACTCGCACACTCGCACATACTTGAATAATCAAGGATTTTAGTTTAATGTATGTAGGTTTAAATAAATATTTCCTTTAGTTGTGTATCTTTTG